GCTTCAATGACACGCAATGTAAGTCATACATGCGTGTCATAAATTTATGACACACAAATGTGTGTCATCTTCATTTATGACGGGGACTTCAATGATGCTCAATGCGCGTCATAAATGCGTGTCATAAATGTGCGTCATAGATTTATGACACACAATTGCGCGTCATCAAAAATTCATGTCGATGGCTTCAACGACTGGCATTTGTCTGTCATCCAAACCCATAGATGACGCGCAATGCGCGTCATTAAAGGGGTTTTTTCTAGTAGTGATTCATTGCCTCCTGAATCTTTTTCTAGCCTTGTCAAGGATGTTACCCCAGAGGAGATCAAAGAGGCTATTTTTTGCCAAGGTAATGACAAAGCCCCTGGCCCTGATGGATTCACTCCATGTTTTTAAAAAAAATCCTGGTCCATTGTTGGTGATGATGTGGTGGTTGCAATAAAATTTTTCTTCCAACAGTCTTCTCTTCTGCCAGCTTTCAATGCAACTACAATTGCTCTGGTTCCTAAAGTTCCTAATCCTTACAAAGTTAAAGATTTCAGGCCTATCTCTTGCTATTCAGTGATTTACAAGACTATTACTAAGATTTTAGTCAAAAGGCTTACTAGTTTTATCCCAGGGATGGTATCTCTCAACCAGACTGCTTTTATAAAAGGAAGGAGCATCGTTGACAATACTCTTCTTGCTCATGAATTAGTTAAAGGCTATGGAAGGAAATCCTTCTCTCCAAGGTGTTCTATGAAGATTGGCCTTCAAAAAGCTTTTGACTCTCTTCACTGGGTTTTATTTCAATAATTCTAAAAGCTTTTGATCTTCCATTGAGTTTTATTGGTTGGATTGAAGCATGCTACACTAAAACAAGATTCTCTATTTCCTTTAATGGGAGCTTGATTGGATTCTTCAAGGGAGCAAGGGGAATAAGACAAGGTGACCCTCTTTCTCCTATCCTTTTTGTTCTATCTATGAATGTCCTCTCTAGAATGCTTAATTTGGCTGCTGCTAGAGGCATATATGGTTATCACCCTAAATGCAAGAAAATAGGGCTCACTTATCTTTTTCCGATGACTAACTGATCTTTTATAAAGGAAATGTGGAGTATGTTGTTTGAGTCATTTATGTTCTTGATTATTTCTATGAAATGTCTAGCCTTAATTTTAATGCTGCCAAATGTGTTTTTTTTTTTTTGCTGCTAGAATCTCAGTCAGTAACCTTGGGATTAGTAAACAAATAACTAGTTTCAATCATGGTTGCTTGCATGTGAGATACTTAGGAGTTCCTTTAGTAACAAAGAAACTATCTGAAAAAGATTGTGAGATTCTTATTGATAATATTAAATCAAGGCTCCTATTCTGGTTTGGTTAACATTTGAGCTACGCTGGTAGACTAGAGCTCATCAGAGATGTTCTATTCAGCGTTGCTAATTACTGGTGTAGGTAACTTCTTCTGCCTCAATCTATAATCAACACGATTGAACAACTTTGCTCTCGGTTCTTCCGGAAAGGTTCTGACAAGGCTGCTTCTGGTGCGAGAGTTAGTTGGGCTAAAATTTGCCATTCGAAATATGAGGGAGGCATTGGTCTGAAGAACTTATTAAACATATTCTTGCAGGAGATGGATCTTTATGGGTTGTTTGGATCAAAACTTATGTTTTAAAGAGAACGACTTGTGGCTCATAGAAGGTGGTGCTAATCTCAGCTGGTGCTTAAACAAAATTCTTAAATTAAGAATAGAAGCATTACCAGCCCTTTAAATGGAGCTCTAAATATTAGGGATATTTGGCAGGAGATTAAGGTGAAGGGGGACAAAGCCCCTTGGCATATCTTGATTTGGTTTCCTCTTCACATTCCTAAACATAGTATGATTACATGGATGACTCTTTTAGACATACTTCCTACTCGTGATCGGCTTCAACGAATAGATATTACTACTATTGGGAATTATGTTCTTTGTAATGAAGCGATGGAAACTCGAGACCATTTGTTCTTTGAATTCCCCTTGGCTTCCTATTTATTGGAGGCCATATTGCTCCTAAACGGGTTAAAGAAAGTCACTTTGTCATGGGAGGATATGTTAGATTGGGCTTGCGGAGCTTGGAAAGGCAAGTCTCTTCTTACTACCATTTTAAAGCTTGCTTGGTGCGCACGTATCTATGCCTTGTGGGAGGAACGAAATCGAAGAATTTTTCAAGGTTGCTCTAGATCTGCTGATGATATTCTTAAAATTATTAAGGAGATTGTAGGTATCCAACTAAAAGGAAGGAACATTAATAGGCTTGATAGTGTTAATATAAATCTTTTTAATTCTTGGGGTATAGTTTAAACCGATCAATTGTTTTGTAAGTAGGTTGTACATAAGGTTATTGTGATCGGTGATTGGTTTTGTAGTAGAACTCTATTTCTTTGGGTAATAAAATGAAATTTTAAAAAAAATACTATTATTACTATATTTTAGAAATATTTATTTGATTTATTTATCACTAATTCTGTCATACATTATTTTTTATTTGCAATCCAATCACTAGGTCGAACGAGAATTTAAAATAAATAACTTAAACAAAAATATATAAGAAATAGAAGGTTTAATTATGGTTTTAATTTCTCCGATCTTCTCACATTAGAAATTACTAATTAAATATTGCTTTATAATAATATGTGAATAATATATTGAATAATATTTTTAATGGAAACTTATATTAAAATTATTTAATAATGTTATTATAAAAGATTTATTTTAGGCAAAAAAATGCATCAAAGGTCCATGTACTTTTGAAAAAAAAATCAATATGGCTCTTGTATTTTTTCCACTCAATGTAGCATTCTAACTCAGAAAATAAACACAATGTGGCCCTTTACCAACTTTTTTTTGTCGTTGGCCATTACAGTGCTGATGTGGCAGTTCAAGGTGCTAACATGACAGTCTATGGTGTTGAAATAACAGTCTAGGGTGATAGATTAATGTGGTAGTTGAGATGATATATTTACTAAATTGGTAACTCAAACATGGCAGATAGACTACCATATCAGCACCGGGGACCATCACGTCAACATCATGAACTGACACACTGGTATTGTAACGATCAACACCTAAAAACGTTGGTTTAAGGGCCACATTGGATTTATTTTCTAATTTGGAGGGCCACATTGAGAGAAAATAATACGAGAGACATTGATTTTTTCAAAAGTACAGAGATCTCTGATGTCTTTTTGCCTTTATTTTATTAATGATAAAAATTAAATAACTAATTAGATTAAATTAAAAGTTTATAGTTTATATAAAACCTAAAATTATATTTAATAATCGAAAATGTTAATTATTAGGGGTGTTCAAAATCGAGTACCCGATTTTTCACGTACCCGAAATACCGGGTACCCGATTCATTTTTTAATTTTTTTTAAATTATATTATTTTATATGTATATATATATATATAATTCTAAAATTTAAAGTTCTATAATATATAATTCACGCATAAAATTCAAAAATTCAAATTACATAATTGCAAAATATAATTAAATAAAAAAATAATTAAATTTCAAGTGTTTCCAAGTTAAAATAATTTTAAAAAATAATTTAGAATGTTAATGTGAAATAATTTAAGAATTAAAAATTTGGAATGTTATGGTAGGAAAATTTAAGAAATTAGGAATTTAGAATGTTATGGTGAAATAATTTGAAAAAATATATATATAATAAACTGGGTACCGAATCGACGGGTACCCGGTTAAGTAATATTTTGTGACTCGGGTCCCACCCGAAAACCTGAAAAAGTTAACGGGTCGGATACCTGACCCGGAATATCGTGTATTTTTTTAAAAAATACCCGATATTTTTTAACCGAATCGGTGGGTAATTAGGTCGTATCAACCTATTTTTGAAAACCCTTAATAGTTATCCGTTTTAAATATGAGATTTTAAGATTATTTATTGATATATATTTTTTTGCTTCTATGACTTCCGCTTTACTTTATATTGACCACGTTTGTAAATTCTTTAACGAATATCATGCAATCCAATTTAAAGAAAACTCTTTTGACAATATTATAAATTGAATTCTAATTACTAAAATCAAACAATTATATAATCTAAATCCTTGAAATTAAGAGTAAAATAGTTCGAATAGTACATGGATTTAGAGAGTGTAATTATATTCAAATAATATTGGGTACAATATACTAATAAACTTCATTCAGTTATGTATAAAAGTCGTTTTAATTACTAAATTTTATAAATTATAAAATAATTATTAAATTTAATAAATTATTATAAAATAATCATTAAAATTTTAAACAAAGTTAAAGTTTTATATTAAGACATTGTGAATGAATAAATTAGATTAACAATTATTTTTAAAATATTTTAACAAAATCACATCAGAGGTCTTTGTACTTTTAAAAAATCAAATATGATTTTCTTCTTATTTTTTTTCTTAACATGATCCTCCAACTCAAAAAATAAGTCTATTTGACCAATGTTTTTCATCATGTGATCGTTACTATACTGATGTAGCAGTTTACAGTATTGATGTGACGGTTCACGATGTTGACATAGTAATCCGCAATAATCGATAATGTGACAAATAATATAGCCGATGAGATAAATTGATAACTCAAACATTGCATATGTATTGCCATGTCAGTATCGTGGACCACCATATCAGCACCATGAGCTGTCACGTCAGCATCATAACGGTCAAAACACAAAAAATGTTGGTCAAAGGGTGACATTAAATTTATTTTTTGAGTTGAATGATTACAATGAGAAAAAAAATAAATAAAATGAAGGCCGCTTTGATCTTTTTCAAAATTATTGGATCTCTGACGTCTTTTTGTCAAATATTTTTTTATTATTCTTGATTTTAGAAAAAATATAAAAGAGTGGAGACTGCAGACGTCATCTGGAGCAACATGAAAATTTCAATCAATAGGGTAATTAGTACGATTCAGATTCGCTGTTATAAATCACCTTCCTTTTCCCTCGCTGTTTGTTTGCAAAAACCATCCAATCTCTTCCTTCATTAAAAAAAAAACTACAATAGTCGAATCAATCAGATCTCGCCATGGCTGCTGAAGAATTCCAAGAGTCCGAGGTTATATTTCCCGACAACACAAGCGACATTCACGCCACACATCATCGACAACACGATGGCGGCGACAACTTCGATCACCGAGCAGGATTCTCCAGAAACGGCAGCGTTTCACGTAGGAAAAACACTGAGATTACAAAGAAGAAGGTAACTATCGGTTCTCGTCCCGTCAATATTCCACGTCATCATCGCGACAGTGTTTTTCACTGCGGCGGAGATTTTGAGGAAGACGACAACGAAGAAGGAGAAATAGTGCCGCCGTACGTAATATTGGGGAGGAGAATCGCCGGAAAAATGGCGTTTTCCGTTTGTACGGGCAAGGGAAGGACGCTCAAGGGAAGATATTTGAGTGAAGTTCGGAATTCGATTCTTAGAATGACGGGATTTTTGGAACCATAATCAAATCATATTCTTCCGTTTTCTCTTTTGATTCTTAAATTATTCATTGTGGCAGAGGAGAATTGGATTAATTACAGTAACACAAAATCAACACGTTTCTCTTTTCTCTTTTTGCCTCCTGATAAATTTATAGTTTTTGTGCAATGATTAAATTCTGCAAAATTCCAGCAGCGGCAACGCCATTTTAAAGGAAAAAGAACACAGTTGGAGTTTTTGTCTTGGAATGGGACATGATCCCAACAGGAACAGCTGGTTTTTTTAATTGAGAAAAAGAGAAGAGAGATACGGGAAAGCAGATGTGATAAATTGATAACTGTCTGCTTTCTAAGACTGCAATGGAGTTGATGAGATCTAAGTTACCTGTTCTTTTTTTTTTTTGGTAATTAAATATCAGTTTCTCTAACGTTGAATAATTATCTATGTGAACTCGTCAGAACGAATGTATGGAACGGATGTTATCAAATTCATTACTGCATCATAATTAGTATACTTCACTCCATCATTCAACAATTCGTTCCACCATCTACCTATGTATGTTCGGATCATATTTACATTCTTAAACACATCATTTGAAACGATTGGAATTATCCCCTACTTTCCACCAAACCAACGTCTCATTGGCTACTATCTATCTTTTAACTGGCTATTAAAAATAAAACTTTAAATAGAATACGCCACTTTCAATTAATTATTAGTATATTGTAATATGTAGGACAGAGTTGAACATGTAGAATAGGGTGTTACGAGGATGATAGGCTCAATAATTTGGACATGTGATTTCCAATTCTTATTAATTACTCCACAATAGATAAGCATTAGTTCAGTTTTCCCCCGAATAAACTACCGCAATTTGACAACTTCCAACTATTACTAATTCTTTCCATGAGAATTAGACAATTGGCAATGTAAACCATTTTTTTATATATAATAATGTGATCCGTTTTATTATTCGTGGAAATTAATAAAATTAAAAAGTAATTTATTAAAATGAATCATTTTTTTAAAAAAATGGTTAGTTTTATTTGATATACGAGAAACCAAAAAACAAAAGATAAGAATCTTATTAAAAACCCTTCTTACACTTAATGAAGGAAAAAGAGTGCTCATGTCAATACATAGACCAACTTGAACCCGGACTAGAAACCGAAACGATTAACTAGATGATGAAAATATGATACAAAATGGAGGGTGTCAATAGGAGTATAGGACACGTAGAAGGTAGACACAGTGTGCATTGTTATTGTCCAGCACTGTCTTTTTCTTTTTCTTAATTTTCTTAATCTTTTAGATAAAGATGAATATTTAATTGAATAAAGTAAAAATTGATTTAAATTTAAATCAAATAATTTAGGATAAATCAACGGGTTTGTTTCAAGTGCTAAGTAGCTTGATATCGCTTAAGTAAGGTCTCAGGTTTGAGATTATATATACAAAAAATTCTTGTTGGGAGACTCACCCACCACAGTCAGGTGTGCGATCTGGGTCGATCCAGATTAGACAGGACGAAACCTTAGAACTAGAGTTTAACAAAAAATAGAATAAAAATGAATTGATTTGAATTTGGTCACGCCTACGTTTAAGTTTGCAAGTCGAATATTTTGGGATCGACCTTAGGAAGGAATAAAGATTAAAGATGCCTTACATTTATATGGTGTAAAGCTGAAAATTTTCTGTTAAAGTTTGCAAATCCCCAGAGATTTAATGATGAGTTAAGAAAACCAAGTATTTTAATCACATTCTTGCATATTCACCCATATAGGCTATCATTATAATATCAACTAAGGATCAAATTATAGAGATATGAATAAAGAAGATCAAAACTAAATTTATATTGCAAAAAGTTAAAATTAAATGAACTCTATAATTACATGTTAATTAATATGATAACCTAATTGCATGCTTCTTTTCTTTGTTTTTTAAAAAAACGTTTTGTATGATTTTATTGATCAAATGCATACAAAACAATACAAACAATTAAAAAAACTTCTCTAGACCTAAGTGAAGGAAAAAGAGTGTACTTAACGATGTCGGAACATGGACAAAAAGTAATAACTCGATACATAAATAACCACAATAGCCACCCTAGGATCACATGGGGGCACCCATGACATGTCAAAGTCTACCAATAACCAAGCATCCCAGAAAAATGAGAACACTACGAAAGCCCTTGGTCGAAAGCAAAAAGAAAGAAAAACCGAACATTTAACACATCGCACTCAACAATCTGCCGTAGGGCCGGAAGGACCCTAAGAAGAGCAATCAGCCGCAGTCATTATTCGACACAACCAAAGGAAGCCATGGATCAGGCATCACTTACATAAGTGTACACCAATTTTATCCGCCCAGAAGCACCAACTTACACTCCATTCTGGAGCTTTAGAACCTGCAAACCAATCTTCGAAGAAGCGATAACGGTTCACAAACAAGAAAACCCTGAACTGCCGATTTTCTCTACTGAATTAAACTAAAGGATAAGCCACTAACAGCCAACAAAAAGCTCAGCTAGATAATCCGAGCCACCAACAACCAACGCCGAAAGCAACAAACCCAACCAAAACAACAGGAAATGACCCAATAAAAGAACCAAAAAAACTCCTTGGTAAGGACGGCATTAGGCAAACTCAGGGATCCACAACAGCTTGAGACACCATGCGAGGCATTAAGCAACGTGTAAAAAACAGTTGTAAATAGTTATTCTGTTAGTACAGTTAGAAAGTTAGTTTGTTTTAGCTAATTTGTAAGTCAGTTAGATATCTAGTTTTTGTATAAATACATTTGTATGTAAGTTTATTGGTGTGAGAAATAAAAATTGAGGTATTATTCATTTTAACACGATTCCCATTTCCTTTAAGTACCTCTAGAACAGACAACCCTTTTCATTTAATCCATGTTGATCTTTGCGGTCTTATGGAGTTTCTACTCATAGTGGACATCGTTACTTTCTCAATGTTGTGGATGATTTTAATCGTATGACTTGGGTTTTTCTGTTGCGACTCAAAAGTGATGCAGTCATTCATTTAAAGTCTTTTTTCTGATGATTCAAAATCAATTCTCTACTTCTGTTAAGATAATTCATAGTGATAATGGGTCATAGTTCTCAATTCCGTGTGTTCTCCTTTGTTTTCTTCTCTTGGTATAATTTACCAGTCTAGTTGTGTTCGTACTCCCCAACAGAATAAGGTAGTTGAGCGTAAGCATAGCCATTTACTTGAGGTTGCTCGTGCCCTACGTTTTCATTCTAAAGTTCCTTTAAAGTTTTGGGGTGAATGTGTTTTGTTGCCTGCTATTTGATCAATATGTTACCCTCCTCTGTTTTGTCTTGGCTCACTCTTTTTGAATTGTTGTATAAAACGTTGCCTTCCTTATCTCATATTCGTGTGTTTGGGTGTCTTGCTTATGTAGCTCAGACACATTTAATTGATAAATTTTGTTCAAGAGATATTCCTTCTGTGTTTCTTGGGTACTCATCCACTCAAAAAGGTTACCTTTTATTTGATATTGAAAAAAGTTTTTTTTTTGTTAATCGTGATGTTGTATTTCACGAATCTGTTTTTTTAGTTTCCCTAAAAAATCTTATTCTTTTTCCCTACTCGGTCTTATGTGGATGATTCAATTTTTTTGGTTTTGTCTCAACCTCCTATATCTCCTGTTACTTCATTATCACCAGTTTTACCCGAATCATCAGGTTCCTCTGTTGTTCCTTTGCGTAAATCTTCTCGAGCATCTAGACCTCTAATATGGCTACAAGATTATTTGTGTTCCAATCAATCTTCTTCTTCTTTTCCCACTTGTAAGTACCATCTTTCTCACAACATTTCTTATGACCATTTACCTGTTCATACTCAATTATGTTATTTTAAACCTAGTTTGGATTAAAGCCATGCAAGAGGAAATTCAAGCCTTAGAAAACAATGGTACTTGGCCAGTAGTGTCTTTGCCTCAAAGAGTGACTCCCATTGGTTGCAAATGTGTATTTCGCATCAAATACAAGGCTGATGGCACAATTGAGCATTTTAAAGCACATCTTGTTGCTAAAGGTTATAATCAAAAGGAGGGTGTCAGTTTTGTTGAAATATTTTCTCCTGTAGCAAAATTAGTCACTATCAGGACTGTTCTTGTTCTTATTGCTATGAATGATTGGCCTCTTTTTCAAATGGATGTTCATAATGCTTTTCTCCGAGGTGATCTCTTTGAGGAGATATACATAAAGTTGCCTGAAGGATTTTGCAGCCAGGGGGAGATTATGGTATGTCGGTTGTGAAAATCTCTTTATGGTTTGAAACAAGCTTCACGACAGTGGAATTTGAAGCTTACTGAAGCATTGGTTGCTGCATGATATCAACATAGTAAGTTTGATTATTCAATGTTTACAAAAAAAGGAAGGTAAAAGATTGGTGGTGATGTTTATTTACGTAGATGATCTCCTATTATCTGGCAATGATTTAGCTTTGATTAATGAGTTGAAAGATATGCTAAATCGTAATTTTAGGATAAAAGATCTAGGAAACTTGAAATATTTCTTGGGGCTTGAGGTTTTGAGGTCAGAAGAAGGAATTTTGATGAACCATAGGAAATATGCTTTAGAGTTATTAAAGGAGACTGGTCTTGAGGGAGTTAAACCAGCTTTGACTCCTTTAGAACATAACTTAAAGCTTACCTCCACAGAATATGATGAACACTTGCAACAAATAGAAGATGAAATATTAGTTGGAGAAACCAACATTTCAAAGGTTGATTGGAAGACTAATATACCTAACACATACTCGGTCAGATATCACGTTAGCAGTTCATCATCTCAACCATTTTATGTAACAACCAAAAAGAACACATTTAGAGACAACATTAAGAATTGTTAAGTATTTGAAGAAAGAACTGGGACAAGGAATATTGTTAAAGAAAGCAAGCAAGAATCAATTGATAGCGTATTGTGATTTAGATTGGGCTTCATGTCCTATGTCACGTAAGTAGTAACTAATTTTTGTATAAAATTGGGTGATTCCTTAATATCTTGGAAATCAAAAAAGCAAAATACAGTAACAAGATCCTCAGCAGAAGCTGAATATCGAAGCATGACAGTTGTTGCAGCTGAAATAGTGTGGTTGAATTGTATTTTGTAGGAGTTACAAGCTGATGTCTCACGACCAGCAAGGTTGTAAAGTGATAGTAAAGCAGCTTTGCAAATTTCAGCAAATTCAGTGTTTCATGAAAGGACCAAACATATTGATATAAACTTCCATTTTGTTAGAGAAAAGATACAAGAAGGGATAATCAAGGCTAAGTATATACCTTCTGCAGAACAGCTTGCTGATGTTTTAACCAAAGCACTTGGGATACAACAAGACAATCATTTGGTGCGCAAGTTGGGGATGAAAAATGCTTTAATCCCTCAACTTGAGGGGAGGGTAGAAAACGGTTGTAAATAGTTATTCTGTTAGTACAATTAGAAAGTTAGTTTGTTTTAATTAGTTTGTAAGTCAGATATTTAGTTTTTGTATAAATACATTTGTATGTAAGTTTATTGGTGTGAGAAATAAAAATTAAGGTATTATTCATTTTAACACAACGGAAAAAAACCGCGAAAGGATCCCACATTGGTGCTTCTTTTCTTTGTTAATTACTGTTCATGTACATGTTTAACCTATCCGATCATTTCAAAATTAGTTGCATATATTTTTTTTAAACTTCTCCAATGTTTTTTAATGATTGAATTTTATTCTGTTGTAACGATTTAAATCTTTTTCGTTTCAAACGTGTGGCTAAGGGGAATTTTATTCGTTCGATTACAATAATTATTTTTTTCTAAAGTGATCCCCACTTTTTACTTTGCGGAAGTTACAAATTCTCTGCAGTATTCAAAAACTATTTCTTCATGACAGTAGTGGTGGTCTTCTCCGACCATCACCTTATCATTTTTAATTATTTTTATCATATTTACTATAATAAAACTTTTGGTATTTTTCTGTTGGCCATTTTGGTTGTTCTTTAAGTTTTTCTCTTACTTGTTTGATGCTCGGAGCCGTTGGCGTGTTCAGTTTATGTACGTTGCTTTATTTGTTAATGGTTTTGTTTATAGGCTATCTCTAAGCAATCATTGTTATATTTTATTTTCGATAGTCACGACTGTATTTGTTTAGTCTGTAATTGACAAGAAGTTTATTGATACAACTTTCGATAAATGAAATATCTTGGTTATTTAAAAAAAATTGTGTAATTATCGACCAATATAATGATTAAATAATTAATAGATTCATGTTTTTTCTAATGTTTAATAATCTTATCTGTCTCAATGTTTGATCGTAACTTCGTTTCTATTAACATGGACTTTGTTTTATGTTGGAAGGAGATTGCATTTCAGAAAAAATCTATGTCAATATTTAACCAGAGTAGCTACTACTTAGAGCAGCTAATAAAAGTATAAAAATAATAAAGATTAAATTATATCAAATTAAAATATAAAGATTGAAATCAAATTTTAGCATAATAAAATCACAAAATCATAGTTTAGATTTAAATAATATAAAAAATATTTGTTCAGCCAGTGAGACCATGTTGGTGTTGGCAAAGTTGAGGCCCCAACTCTTGAATTGCTCAATTTAGAATTATTTTGACCTAAATCTGAATAGTTCTATATGTTTATTTATGTATCATAATAATTTATTTTTTAATAAAAAGACAAATATAGCATTTTATGGATGTCCATTTGACCTATCTTTAAGAAAAAGAGAAGAAGACAATCCAAAACATATTCATGCAATATGTACACGATACTTATACATTTTAGTGTCTGAATTTATATTTAAGATTTAATTTAGTATACAAATTTATTTTGTCTAATTAAATATATAAAGTTATTTTTGTTCAAGTTAATACTTTAACATAACTTCATGGTTCAAATTAATTTAAACAAGTCATTTATCATAAGTATCAATTTGGCCTAAAAAGAATTTTAAGTACTAATTTGAATTAGAAAATTAAATTTGAGTACTAAATTGTATATTTACCCATAATATACATAAGAAGCAGTTTGTTTTAAGGAAAACTAGCTATCAAGCACCCAATGATTTGTGAAGTAAACTAAGTTAAGATAAGAGTGTGTTTGGTTCATAAAATGTAAAATTACCTTTGAGAATAAGATTATCGGAATGTAGTATTACTCTGGGAATGTTGTATTACCCTGTTTGATTTGTTTGACATGAATGTAAGATTACAGTGTTTGGTTAGAAGAATATAAGATTATTTGAATGCATATTTTATCAAATTATCCTTGTGATATATAGTTTTTAGCAAGTAAGATTTTAATATTAAATTATAAATATTTGAATGAAAATTTATAAAAATATTTTAATTATTACACTATCTATGTTTAAAGAAAATATACATTTAACATATAATTAATACAATTAGTTTATTAAACTTATAAATTTAAATAAATTTCACAAGTATTTTATTTATTTATACAAGTATAATATAATATGAAGAATAATATTGTGATCTCAAGTGGACAAATATATTAATTTTTAATGCATAAGATCTATTTTTTAATAAATCAAAATTAAATATTATTTTAAATAATTTATTTTTACAATAATAATATTTTTACATCATAAAATTATAAAATAATTAATATACTAAATATCAAAAATATAAAATAATTTTAACTACTCAAATTTATTAATATTTTATTAAATTAAACTACTATTATTAAGTTTATAATTTTGAGTAAAACACATACTAAGAATTGAGAATGATTTATATGAAGAAAAAAAATTATTTCAGAGGTATTTATGTCTAAAACGGTTAAAAAATTAAATTTGGGACATAAAACAGAGAGAATCGTGCTGCAAAGCATTTCATGTTAATTGGGTTACGCAACTCAATAAGTCAATATGATTGGACTGCTCCATTTTCGATATACCTTTACGTGAAGGTTTCGATTAGGACTTTTTCATACCCTAATTCTCCCAATTTCCATGGGGGAATCTGGTTTCTGATCCTTTTGGTTTTGGCAAAGGATTTGGTTGGTTTTTTAAGGCAAAAAAGATAGGTTCAGTTTGGGATTAAAGAGAAGAGTTGCACGTAAGTTTTTCCAAATTTTTTTTATAGATAAATGTAAGTTTTCCGATTTGAACATCAAACCTGTTATATATTAGTATATCCTACACGATTGTCGATCTTGAGAAAATAATTTACGAATTTTAATTGAAATTTTTAAAAACTTTGAAGGGATCAATTTAAAATGTTTAAATATTTTAGGGATTATTGAGATTTTATAAAATTGTAAGAGTCGAATCAACATTTTTAAAGGGCCTAATAATTTTTTTCAAAAGTCGCATGACCTTTGACATAATTCGTCTTGTAAACACTATTTTTCGTCCGAAACAAATGAAATAACCTTTAAATTCAGGTTAAATATGAATCTGGATCTAACCTGAATAGAATCCGGTTAATAATTTATTTTATTATTAAAATTATTATTATTTTTATTTTAAAAAGGAACAGCATAATATATTTCAATTTTTATATTATATGATATATATTAAAATAAATAATAAATATATTATAAACACGAAATGGATCGGGCTTAAGCTGGTCACGGAATCACCAGGGTGTTTGGATTCTGTAGGCCCAATCTGCTGATCAATTCCCTTTAGCCCTTTGCTTCCTTTTCTGGGTTCTTAGTTTGGTTCATATGTTTGAAGCCCAATTCCCCTTCTAATCTCCCCCGTTAACATCTGATTCCAAAATTCCACTTTTCAAAGTCTGGGATTTCTTCACGGACATCCATTATAAAATAATAAAACCCTATAACATATATATTCTCTCACTCTCTCCGCTTCTCCTTTTATTTTTGCTCATAATGATCTCTCACTAGCAATCGGTTTGTAGTTCGGCGCTCGCTTGGTTTGAGTTTCGGTATGTTTCGATAAACCCGTAATTTTCTCTTTTCTTTTTCTCCTCTGGTTTGAATTCTCTTTGGGTTTCTTTGATTTGTGGAACTGAGGTTTGGAATGTATGATTGGGTCTCGGGGTGTTTTTATGATGCGCTTCTTATTATCTCTCTTTTTAACCCTTATTTATATTTTTGTTGTGCACATGCATTCGAATCTTCTGGGTCTCTTTGATTTGGGGAGAATTGAGGCTTCGGAATGTATGATTGGGAATTCGGATTTCTCTATGATTGTACTTCTAATTAGTTCTCTTGCAAATGTTTTTATTTGTGGTGATGGTTTAAATTGAATTTGAATTCATCGTTAGTTCCAATTTTCCCTTATTTATGCAAAATTTCGAGCTCAAGTTACTGAATTGTATATTTAGATTGGACCTAACATACGTTAGGGATTTTGCAATGCCTGACCAAATTCAAATTTCGATATTATTCTTTTATTTTACGAAGTTTTGGTCTTTGTTGGTCAACGTGGTCCTAAGATTCTTCCGGTTATCTCTTAAAGAACAAATTAATTGGCTTTGTAGTGTTTTTGGGGATTCCCTCTTTTTTGGTTTTTGGTTTTTGGTTTTCATCTATTACCCATTCTGTTTCTTTTATATGACATGAGAATCCTCTGTTGCGCTTTGATTAACTTTTACTTCTTCCTAAGGTTCTTGGTTTTGCCCTTGGTTTACTTGTACGAATCAATGCTGCCATTGCATGCTACCATTTGTTTAACGTTTTCCCCCATAAACTTGTTTAATTATATGTGTAATGCTTTTGATACTTGTGTTGCCATATGTTAGTCATGATTTTTGGCATCTTTTATCGTGTAGCTGCTTCAAAAAATTAAGCTTTTGTTTATTTTATATTGTTGCCTTTTTCATATTGTCTGGCAGTGTGTAAATCTAGAGTGTGGTATATTTCAAGTTCTGTGGTTCACAAAATGATTGCTGCAGAAAGTGTTGTGACAAAGCATAAGTTGAAGATTAAGTTCCCCATTCTGAGGACTCCTGTGCCACAATCATTAGAGTATGGACAACAACAGAACAGCTCTTTTGATCGAAAAAGGAAGGCTTGTGTTGGGGATTCGAAAGAGACTCATGGTGCTTCTAAGCGTCGTCTGGAAGGGGTGATAATGGGTGGTCCACAAGAGAAGAGGAGAAAGATGGACCGCAGCATGACTCAACAGTGTACAACCCTACTGAATGCTTTGATCAAGCATCCAGCTGGCTGGGTTTTCAGTCAACCAGTGGATCCTATAGCATTAAGGATTCCTGATTACTTTTCAATAATAAAGATCCCAATGGATTTGGGTACAATTAAGTCCAAACTGGCGAAGAAAGCTTATATCAGCATTGAAGAGTTTGTGGCTGATATTAAACTGACATTTTCTAATGCCATGCTGTATAATCCCCCATCTAATAATGTCCATAAAATGGCAGAAGAAATTGATGAGTTTTTTGAGGTAAGATGGAAAGCTTTGGAGGAAAAGTGGAATGCGCATGAGAAAATTTCAAGTGTGCGACTGAAAGATGTTGGTGAATCAAGGCAGGAGTGTCCTAAAATACAGTTATCCCGAAAGAGCTCTTTGCCGAAGAAGTCAAAGCCATATGAGGAGAGGGCTGTGAATATGACTTTGAATGTAAAAGCAGTAGAAGTGAGTACTGTCTATTATATATATAAACAAGCATGCTTATGTACTCTTAATTGGTTTAATTTGATAGAAAAGGTTGGATTTGAACATTGCTTGCAAAATAAGTCAGAGTTAAGCACTTTAGTTCTGGCTTGAAATTATGCTGTCACTCATTTTATTTTGTTACCATAGAGGTCTGAGTTGCTTTTGATGCCAACTTTCTTGACTTGTTAACAGGTTCAACTTCCTAAACTGGCACAGAAGAGTGTCAGCAATTTGTCAGGAAAAAACTTGCAAAAAGGTATGAAGTGGCAGAATAAAGTTTCTGCTTTATGGTTCTTCATTGGAGCTAATTTACAATGCGTCTTGTAGGCACCAGTACTGCTAATGCTAGTGGCGGGTGTACTAATGGGTCTATCATTGCCAAGCCACCATTGTGCTCCAGTGCCTGCCAATGCTGTTCATGTGGCAGCATAAAGTGTCAATGTAGCATTCCATCTGATTCACACCGTGCATCTTCGAATGGTTTGTTGATAAATTCTTATGCTTCCTCTGGTTTGTCATTTTGGGCGGAATCTTTCTTTGATTTTCTAAGAATCTTACTTTTGGCTTGGTGTAGATGGGACTTCAGAAAGATTGTTGGGTGGAGATCCTAGAGTGTGTACTGCTGATGCCTCTAAACTGGTACACATGATTGGTTTTTTTTCTTTACTATTTTTATGATTATTTCCATGAAATATGTTACTAAAATTTTATATTACATTGTAGGACTGCCAAGCAAAAAGCACATCAGCATCACAAATGAGCAACTCTGATCCAGATTCTGATGGTAAGGAAATGTCTTGATTTATATCATGATTTTTCTTACCTTGACTCGAGTATAAGAATTCTTTCAAAAAATGTTAAGGAGCTGTAAGTGCTATTGATGAAGGGAATGTTCGTCTTAGCTCTCATCTTACAACTCATATAGCAGATGCCAGCTCTGGTGAAGGTAAGTTTTTCTGATGATGTTAACTGTTTAAGTTCTTACCTGTTTTGCCTTTTGTAACTGAAAAACAGTCTCGAAGATGACCCATTGTGTTCTGGTAATGCAATCTTCATAATTTTCTAGAAGGAAAAAATAAAGCATATTCACTATGGTAATCTTGGAGGTTTACACAAGGAAAGAACCAAGTGGAGTCCGTTGTTGAAATTGAGTGTTTAGAGTGTTGGCGAAGTTATAATTTGTGGACTAAAAGTCATGATATGTAGTACATGTTCCTTGTAGGATTGGATAAAACTGTTTGAATGGAAACCTATATCTTTATTGCAATTTTAGCCGTTTTGGTTACAGGGCTGAACTGTATAGTCCGGTATTGTTTGGTGCCTGTCTCCACTTTGTTACAGTTTTAGGTTTATGTACGACTGTTTTCCAACACTAGTGACTAAGACATAGTATTATTATGAAGGATATTTAAGTGGTTTTTCTTGGCTTTTCAAACACATCAACTATCCACAGATAATGGCCAATGGGGGGTATAGCTTCAATCACTTAAATACCATCCTAAAAGCCTAAATGAAGCTCATTACGTGGATGATTGCAAATTTCAAACTATCTTAAAACTGTTTGGTAGAACTTGATGATCGGTAAGGTTAAGAAAATTAATTTTTAAACTATTTAATCTAGTCAAAAGAAAATGATCTAGTGAACAAGAAATGACTTTTGGTCTCTAGCATTCAATTGACCCTTGAGCAAACCAGTCTATTTTGGTTTGTAGCTGATAATAAATGGAAAATATAGTCTTTTGATTCTTGTTCGACTTTTTCCCATTATTCTTGTGAAATGTAAAGGATGAAGCGCATCACATTTTGACCATCTGAATCAGCTCTGTCGTTTAATGACATAATGATAAAGTTCTTTGACGAAATTCATGCATCATGTATGTTATGCCTCGGCAGACTAGTTTCTTTCTTATTTACTATTGGAACGAATACCGCAACTAATGAAACTGTTCTAATGAATTAATTACTGATTCATAAATAACCGCTTCGTTGTTTTCAATTATTTGATGTAGTATTGTCAACTCCTAATTTTGGCGCACAAATGTCACCGAAGAAGGCGCTCCGTGCTGCAATGATAAAAAGTCGATTTGCAGACACAATTTTGAAAGCGCAGCAGAGGACACTACTTGATCATGTATGCTGGTTGTATCTTTGTTTGTTTTGAATGTAGCGCTGGGTGTTTTATATTCTATGATTGTGAACTGCTTGTTGTCTCGATGGCATTTAATAAAGATAACTTATGCTCTTATAATGTAGGGTGATAAAGCTAACCCAGTGGAGTTGCAGCAAGAAAAGGAAAAATTGGAAAGAAGGCAGCGTGAAGGTTATTGTTCTTCTAGTTCTTGACTTCGTTTGTTGAATTGTTGATGATTTACTGATTGTTGGAGGTGCCATTGTTATTCTTCTATTCTGTACAGAAAAAGCAAAGATTGAAGCGCAAATCAGAGCTGCTGAAGCTGCTGCCAAAATGAAGGTAGATGCTGAGTTGAAAAGGCAACGGGAACTAGAAAGAGAAGCAGCTCGACTTGCACTGCAGAAGGTTTACTTTTTCCTTTTTGAGTTTACTTTTTATTCGTACTTCTAGCAGTGGATTTAGAGTAGACCTGCCATTTTGTATGAGTTGGTTTTTTATCTGGTCAGTCTGGATCAGGTTACTTTTGAAGGTCAAATTAGGTTGTGTCGAGTCTTCCGGTTTGGGTCAGAATGATCAAAGGTTAGAGTAGAGCACTACAATAGTAAGCGTATTAAGTATTTGAATGAGCTTTGGATATTGCAGATGGAGAAAACAGCTGAGATTGAACAGAACCTGGAGATTCTGAAAGAACTGGAGATGCTGATTGGATGTTGTCTCTCTAGTTATCAATTTCATGGTCGTAAAACTGGACCGTGTGATAGAGAGGTCGGAGTAGCGTATGGGGTGGTAACCGGTGAGAATCCCCTGCATAAGCTCGGTTTGTTCTTTAAAGACGAGTTTTTGGATGAGGATGAAGCCATTCTGAATGAAGAGTTTGGTGAAGAGGGAGAGATACTGTCATGAAAGAATGGTTGGTAGTATTATATGTTCGCAGTCCTGTGTTCTGGATGGATGCTTGCTTAGTGAGAGTCGGTTAAATTTTAACAAAAACGAGAGGGTATTAATCAATTGTAAATGGAGCGAGTATTTTTGTAGGGAAGTGGTTATCTGAGTAACCAAAACACATTTACATGGAAATGCTGAAACATATGTAGCTTCCAACTAATTCAAATCTCTCATTGCTCTGATGGAAGAAATTAGAATGATCATTTGTTACACTTTTGTTGCCCATTTTTAAAAAAAAATATGTTTGGGTTGTTTACGTTATTGATTTGTTATGTTTTGGTCATGGCAATGTTAACAATTTTCTCCCTATATGGTCTCAATCGAAACAAGATATCACCGAATTTCATTCATAATTGCTGAACACTTATTTTTAGCCAAGGTCATTGATCCTGTTCTCCAGTTCATTTATAGAGGGTTTTCCATTTCATTCTGTGCTTTAAAGTTAACAATAGATGTCACACAATTATGATGGAGAAGTATAAGAACAGTTTAGACTTTACTCGATAACTGGGCAAATATTTCAAACAAGGGTCGGATTATAAATTACCATTTGTTGAAGAACATTTTGCACCAACCAGTCGAGGAAGGTTTTGGGCCGTGATGTTCACCCATGTTTTATCAGTTTGTTTGTTCACAAAAAATTATCATCGGGGTTTGTTTTAACAGTCGAGAATTCAGTGCTGTTACTGTTTAGTGATTCGTTTGTTAGTGATAGGAGTTTTAAATCATTTCCTGTTTGATTGGAGGTTTTAAGCACACTTGACTTGAGAACTCATCTCTAGTGAGAAGATCTATACCATTAGTGTTACCCTATATCGAATCTATCAACCCAGACACTAGAAGCAAACAAGAAGAGGAGAAACATAGAGCAGCACAAGGAGGGCGGTGCCGGAGACAGTATAGACTACGGCTGAATGCTACGTCAGCCACAAGTCTAGGGTCTGGGTTAAAAAAGAGCATAGAGTTTTTTTCCTTTTTTTTGAGAAAGAGAGTTTAGGAGTTTTATAATCGTGTAAGTGAATCCCACTTAGTCATATAAAACTCAGTTTTAACATAGTGGATGTGAATCCCTCCTTTATATTATAAATTAATTAGGTTACCATTGCACCACAAGCTTGATTCACTGTTTATTTAACCATCTATTCCGTCAAGTATTATCCAAATCATTGTTTAAAGCTTTTTTTATAATTTTATTATATAGACACAAATTACCCATACTTTTACACACCGTTCACTCATCATGCAATACACACACAAACAACCCTATTTTTCTTAGGAATCCCTAAAGATATATAGTAGCAGCTGGGCTCACATCTCAATTCATATATTTAACATCAAAGCTGCATTTATTTTCACATCACACATAGCATGTTATTACATGTATAAATGTAGGGTTTTTGAAGGTTCAACTCAAATCAGGCAGATTTGTCTTCTCCATTATCAGCGATCCTTATGTGTTGCAGATATGATTTTCCATTGAGCTTTTGAGAGAAGAAACCCTTAACATATTGGCCCAGGCTAAATCTTTTGAACAATGGAGGATTCTGAGGGTTTATCAAGCTAGGCGATGGCCCAACACCTACCTCAAATTTAGGGTTTATGAAGAAGGCTACTGACATTCTCTCCTTTTCTGCATTTGGTACCACCTTATGCTCTATGCTACGGTACATCCCATTGCTAAATATCTGCAATTCTTGATGTATATATATAAATCACATAATATATAAGGTTTGATTGAATCAAACATATTTAAAACTGTCATCTTGATTCTCAGTCATACTATAAACTTCAAAACGTTATGACATAGTCCTAATAGCATGGACTAATATTTAAATTTGGAGTGGTTTGAAACGTTTTTAGACAAAAATTTTTGGATTGTTTATTTAAGTCTGTCACTATCTTATAGTGGATATGACATGAAATATATTTAAACATGTGGATCAAATTATACACATTTATACCTATTACATAAATAGTTTACATCTGAATTGTTAAAAAGTAGTCAATTTTTTTTAACAATGTGATACAATTCATATACTTTTAAAATTCCTTCGCACACTAAATCGTATGATATTGAACACTATAAGTATGTTTGATTTTGCAAGATCATTCACTTATGTATTGTAAAAACAATAATGCTAATTGAACTAAACTTAATAAAAAATAGTCAATTAATTAATTAAAAAGATAATTTCTTTTGTTAACACATTTTAAAATATTCATTCAGCAAGTGCTTGTGTTTTAAGTATACTTCACTTTAATTTGAACTAACATATAACTCTGAAATTAATGATCAATTGATAGTTGATATTTTAATAATTTTTATTTTAAAATTTGAGCGATAAATTGATAAACTTTAGGAATTAACCCTACATAGTATTATATAACAAGAGAGAGAGATGAAGTGAGAGAAACGTTACCGACCTCTAGATTGTCTCCCACATTGACAACGAGGGCATTTGGGAGGAAGCTAATGGGGAACCAAACGCCGTCTTTGTAGATATGAAGACCGTCGACGCCGTTAAGCTGGTGGAGAATGGTGATGAGAGAGCAATCGGAGTGAGGCGTAATGCCCATCACTAGCTCCGGTTGCGGACATGGAGGATAGTAGGTCATCCTCAACGATTGCATCCCATCTTCAAAACACTCTGTCATTTCTCTCTCCTCCATTTTCAAAGCTTCCGCCATTAATAACAGAAGCTTCTTCCCAAGGCTTTGCACTTCCAAGATGTAAGATTCCAAGGTATTTCTTCATACGCAAAAACAAAACAAAATGTATATAATTATTGCATAACAAGTATTCATCAATCAGAAACTGGTAGTTGATATTATTCTATGTATGGTCTATGATAGATGTTTCCGTTTTTTTATATACGTATGTTCGTATACATACACAAGAGGCATGATTATTCATATTATATATATTTTTTTTATTTTATACTTTTTAAGATAATTGAATGATTGAAAATAGATTATTGAGATTAACATTATAGAATAAGAATATATTCACAAAAATAAAATAAAATAATTTCAATCACATATTTTTACTTATCTATCGATTTTAAAAAGTTACAGAGATAAAACTCTTATATTAAGTGTGACTAAATCCTAACCTATATGTTTATATATAAAAACAAAATGTAAGCAACAAATGTCTGTCTGTACGTTATTGTGGTTGAAAAAAAATTCTTTTATGTCTGCTAGTTAATAAAAGCACGTGGAGGTGGAAACTTATATTAGGCAAAATCAATGAGATAATGCGTTGAATTTTTTTTCACGAGATAGTGCCCTCGCCAGATTAATTGCTCAGATAGGGTGATCTCTACAGTCCCACGTCCCTGGGGGTAGGTCGCCATGCACGCCCAGCGACCTACCAGGTCGCCATGCACGCCCAGTGACCTAGGTAGGTCGCCATGCAATCCATGTAGCCCCCAAAGGTCGCCATGCACGTCCCAACACGCTGGGCATCCGAGGCCATCCGACCGAGGCCATCCGAAAGCATCCGAGGCCATCCGAGAGCATCCGAGGCCATCCGAGAGCATCCGAGGCCATCCGACCAAGGCCATCCGAACGAGCTATGCGAGGGCAACCGAGCGAGCTATGCGAGGGAATCCGAGCAACCGAGCGAGGGTAGGTCGTCATGTACTCCGGGCGACCTACCCTCGCTCGGTTGCCCGGATTCCCTCACATAGCTCGCTCGGTTGCCCTCGCATAGCTCGTTCGGATGGCCTCGATCGGATGGCCTCGGACGCCCAGCGTGTTGGGGCGTGCATGGCGACCTGGTAGGTCGCTGGGCGTGCATGGCGACCTATATGGGGACTGTAGAGATCACCCCATCTGAGCAATTAATCTGGCGAGAGCACTATCTCGTGAAAAAAAAATTCAACGCATTATCTCGTTGATTTTGCCCTTATATTAAGCATTTTAGTTATGTGATAATTAATCTATATACTGTCATCAACTCATCATGACCTGTATTGCTTCAAACAGAATCTGTAGACTATAAATGTTTTTTTAAATGAAATCTATTAAGTGAACTTAATATTTATAAACGGTATTGTTATTTCTTAAGTGGTTTTGAGTTCGAATAGTTGAGTCGGTAAATTTTACGTTTTGAATGACTAAAAAAAACAGGTAAAAGAGGGAAACCTCAAGGATGAAGGGAGCTCTGGGAAGAGATGAGGCTTTCGTTTGTGGATAGGGTTAGTGGTCATAAGAAACCTATCAGCCCAATCAAGTTTCCCCTCATCTCTCTCAATGTTCCCATACCCTTCGGCATCACCTTCCCTCATCTTGTACTTCATCTTCTCCTCCAATGGAAGTTTATAGAATCCTTCAACCTCTTCCTTCACCTCCTTCAAGATCGAGCTGTTAACCCCATGGTTCACCAACTACAACCATGCACAGTAAAGACACAAGATTTTATGTTAGTATGCAAGGATTTAAAATTTTTATATTAAAAAAATCAAGGGACCCGAAATTATAAAATTTCAGGAGATACGAGTGTGGCTGCACGCCCAGCATCCGTACATCCCTGACCATGCAAAAGCAGCATCACATGCAGGTTTATGATCGCAAACCCTTTATTTTCCTTCTTATGTATCTGTGTGTATATATATATATATATATATATATATATATATATATGTTTTACCTGAAAGAAGCCCCAGTCTTTGCACGTGGAGTGCAACTTTTCGAGTTCAGCATCAAAATCTTTCCCAGGAACGAATCGATTCATGTCGATGATTGGGAGCATTTGGGAGGGATGGCCACCGTAAGGGGCGGAGAGAACAAGTTGCCGGTGATCCAAACGAACATAGTGTTGTGGGATTGTTTTGATAGGCTCTTTGACAAGCTCTTGAACCGAGGAACTAGAGCTGTTAAAGCTAAACTGATCTTCTACGCTTGATGTTGCTGCCATGGTTGTTGCTTAAACTTGATCGATATAATGCCACTCAGTGCAAGGATATTTATAGGCGAAACATTAGGTTAAAATCAATGAATTTTATCCCGTATAATCAGAAACTCCAAACGTGGTTGACCGGCGAGAAAAAGAAAACGTGGCTCACCGCAATTTCTACAGACATTTTCTTATTAATAAGCTGCATGTGACTTTCTGTACAAGTTACACAAAGTACATTTTCATTTTCATTCTTCTGGGGATTACGTTAATTAGATACCCTAAACGTAAAAATAAATTTAGTATTTAAAGTTATTATATTACCAAGAATTTGAACCTAAAGTAACTTGTATCACTTGAGCCAAACTCCTATTAGAACAATTGGTACATTTAAACGACTTATGATAAACTTCTAGAACTAATAAAATTTACACACGTGAATAATTTTATATAAATCGTGATATTTTTAAAAAATATCATTGAATTCGATTATATTCCTGAATTTTTATGCCTATAAATTTGAGTTATACCGATTTGATATTTATATCATATCAATAAAAAATATTTTTTATATAGATATTTGGTGTACCATCAGTTATTAATATTAATAAATATTATAATACATATTTTTTAAAAGATTTATAAATAAATATTAATAAATTTATTTAAACCTAATTAAAATCAATTATTTTTATTATTTTTCCAACCCCTCATCAAATATTATAATACAACTTTTTACTTTAGGGTTCTCTAATTTTTTTGAGAAAATAGCGTACAGCAAACAAATTTTGTTCTTCTCGTGCTTTATTACTATTGGTTAAAGAATTTTCAAAGAATTTTGGTTAAGGAACTCTTAAAGAATTTTATTTTTGGTTCTTGAAAACTCAAAGAAAATCTGCACAATAGGCGAAGAAAAAATATAAGAATTATTATAATTATTTTATTTAAATTTGATATCTCTGCTTATAAATTCTCTAAAAATATTTTATTTTACTTGTTGATGATGTATTTTACATTTAGGCACGAGACATACACATCCACCGTATATCAAATATTAGCTCTATCTATAATTAATTATTTATACAGGTGAGCTCATACTTTATATTCTTGGGTTAATTATGATTTTAATCCATCTACTTCGGTTAAATTAAGATTTAGTATATATACTTTTGTAATGTTATTAACATATTCAATTTGAGAACATCATTAATTATTTCTTAAAGTACATTAAAATCTAATCAACCAGTTTCAATCAACGAAAATTTTACATGTTATTTGAGTGCTTAAATCTATTTTGAGAAAATTCTACATATTTTTTTATGATGATAGCTAAAGATACAATCAATTTTAACTTATTAATTATTTACAAAAAATAGAAGAATTAAATTATTAAAATTTGATTACATTTATCAACTTTTAATTTGTTTTTGGGTTTAAGCTGTTATTCTTATTAAAAAGTGAAAATTTCCAAAATTATTATAAAGTTTATAACTATCATAGTAAACTAAATGTATAATTTAGACATTTTTCTATAACATAAAAACTAGTCATTCTAGATCATATACGAACCTTACATGGAAAAGGTTAAAAGCATAACCAAAAGACTCAAAAAAATAGATATGAACAAATCTGACTATATCGATAAACAAACCACAAAAGATAATTAAACTATTAAAAGATCACCGAGAATAATAAATTAGAGTCGAATGTCATGAGAAATGATCCACGAACGTAAAATCATGTATCAAAATTTAATATGAAGCTCCATAGAAGGGAATAAGATTTCAAATAAGCGTCATCTTGATCAGTTGTGGCGTTGTAATGTCTAATCATGAGAAAATATAAAAATAAAAAATCCAAACGATCGAGAAATAAAACAAAAAATATCATAAAGGGAGAGAAAAACGTATCATAATAACAAAATTATTATTATTGAAAAACTAAAAAAACCAGAAATCAACAACTGTCGTCAAAATCGATGTGGCATTCAAACTAAACAAAGTCGAAATTTTTTTATCTAAAAACTGGTACGAACTCTAAAAAGAAGAGAGGAAGAAGGACTATTTTAAAAATTTTAATGAGATTATAATCAATGATTCATTATGATATTTCCATTAACACTTAGAATAATGTTTTGTCAACTCAAGGCTCATATCTTGGCTAGTTTATGAAACAAGAAAATTATAATATAAAATGTTCTTACAATGTTTAATTGTTTTTTTATAATAAACTTATCACCTACAGATAAATTCAACCGTGAATGGCATTGGATAAAATCACATCGTTAATACAAGCAGGACATTCACATTATCTTTATAATGAATTTTTTATTATTATTCTAGGATGATTAGAAATATACAATAATTAAAATACATTAATTACTATTATAATAATAATAATAATAATAATAATAATAATAATAATAATAATAATAATAAAATTAGATTTTATTAAACTCATTACCATGCCACATTATTTTTATAATTATTTTTTTTCATTATTTTAGTTTGATTAAAAGTGGTATTATTTCTTCTAAATATTCTCAATTATTTGAAAGTAAACGTTCAAAGACCATGAGTCACTGTTGCTTAAACTCGAAACTTCTAAATATAATAATAATGATAAAAGAAACCGAGTCACTGGTGCTCAAATACCATTAAGATTATTAATGAAATTTGAATTTTGATATTTATTTGATAAAATTATCTTATTGTATAAAGTTGATGAGCGAAAGAATGCAATTCATTGTCATCCATTACGTATATAGTAAGGCAGGTAATAAATTCTCCAAGCAAAACAATTAAAAGCTTGTAAAAAACGTGCTCGTTTACCAGCTATAGATTTTCTATTTCTTAATCATAAAGGTGTAAGCACGAGGTTTGACAAAACTTTGAGATATACATGTTTTGAAAGGCAGGCCACATCTTTAATTCTGAAATCTGGAACATATCATATACATCATTCAAATAGGAATCTTCGTATATTTTATGGGGAGTACTCATCATCTATGATCAAAGTGTATTTTTTTCTTTTGAAAAGATTTAGATCTAAATTTATGTATTTATACAGATTATATTATTTAAATTTAAATGATCTAGAAAGAACAAATTCTTTTTTATTATATTTCAAGTATTCGATGAAAATTTACTTCTCATATAACAAGGGAGTAGTCAAAAATGACTTTTTACTTTCTTCAACTGTGAATGTTGTTTAGAACTGTATTGGTGTGTTTAAAAGTCGAATTATTTTTTTTAAATTGAAAATTCTATTTGTTGATAAATCAAGCAAAGTAAACGAAAGAACACAAGAATTTTAACGAGGTTCGGCAATGTGCTTACGTCCTCGGTGCCTAGGCGGCGCTAGAAAATTTTTATTCAATGATAATAGGTTTAGGTTACATCTCTATTTATAATAGAAAACCCTGGTATATAATTACAAAATTAACCATGTATCGTACCGCAGTGGCGCAGCCCCCGCACCCCCAACCCACATAATTGTAACCCCCTCTACAAGACTTTCTTTGTAAGGACAGTTGATGTTCGCTTCGCTCACTCCGCTCCATCCCCTGTCCTCTTTACCGGTATATTTATGAGTAATACCTTACAAATCTCCACCTTGGCGAATATCCTGCCCCTTAGGAAACATTCAATGTGGTTGGGTTACCTTACTTCTTTAACAACTTGAAACATTCAACAAGTCCAAGCAATGCTTGAACTTGTCTGTTATAACTGGCTTGGTGAACATATCAGCGGCATTCTCATCAGTGTGTACCTTCTGAAACAAAATCTCTCCAGATGCAACCAACTCTCTGATCTTGTAAAAACGTACATCAATGTGCTTAGTTCTAACACGATATACCTGATTCTTAGCTAAGTGAATAGCACTTTGATTGTCGCAGAGCAGCTGAACTCCACCTTGTTGAACACCCAACTCCTTCACTAAACCAGTGAGCCATAAAGCTTCTTTTGCAGCTTCAGCCGCTGCCATGTACTCAGCTTCAGTTGTAGATAGTGCCACAACAGATTAAACAGTAGACTTCCAACAAATAGGTCCTCCACCAAGAGTAAAAACATACCATGTCGTAGATCTTCTATTATCCAAGTCACCTGCATAGTCTGAATCAACATATCCTATAACCAAAGGATTATCTCGTTGACTACCAAAAATAATTCCATGTCCCACAGTACCCTTTAAGTACCGAAAGATCCACTTGACTGCTTCCCAATGTTGCTTACCAAGTTTAGACATGTACTTACAAACTTGACTAACAGCATGAGCTAAATCAGGACGAGTGCATACCATTGCATACATCAAGCAGCCAACAGTATTAGAATACGGAACCTTTGCCATATCTTCAGCTTCCTTATCTGTCTTAGGGCACTGTTCTGATGAGAGCTTAAAATGGTTCGCCAATGGACTGCTAACTGGTTTTGTGCTTCTCATCGCAAACCTTTCTAGCATTTTTTAAACATAACCCCGTTGAGATAGCCACAGTTTCCTTGAGTCTTTGTCCCTGCAAATTTCCATTCCAAGAATTTTCTTTGCAGCACCTAAATCTTTCATATCAAATTCCTGACTCAATAAAGTTTTCAAACCGATAACATCATCCATGTTCTTCGTAGCAATCAACATATCATCAACATACAGTAATAGAAAAATAAAAGAACCATCATCAAGGCTCTTAACATAGACACAACAATCATACTCACATCGGTTGTAGCCAATCTTGATCATATAGGAGTCAAACCGTTTATACCACTGTCTCGGAGACTGTTTCAACCAGTACAAAGATTTCTTCAATCTGCAAACTAAATGCTCGTTTCCAGGTTGAGTGAAACCTTCAGGTTGCCGCATGTAGATCTTCTCCTCTAAATCACCATGCAAAAAAGCAGTTTTAACATCCATCTGCTCTAAATGCAAATCCCAACTGGCCACCAATGCAAGTACTGCTTGGATTGAAGTGTATCTGACCACAGGAGAAAAGATTTCATCATAATCAACTCCTTTCTGCTGTGAAAAACCCTTTGCTACCAAACGAT